GTATTTGCTACATATTGCATATTCGTAGAAAGCGCTGATTTGCTTATCCGAGGGTGCTGTCTGATTTACTAGAGAGCAGTGCTCCTACTTTTTTGAAGCCTTGAATACAACATACACAACAAGTGAATCTGTACGATTTTCTTCTTCTGACTTGAATTAGGACAGAAAGAGGGGGAACCAGATCACGACATGAACTCTGATCTGGTCCCGCGTTATACGAAAAATGCGCTGTGCTGCGATAGATTGGAAAGCCTGTGTAGAGATGGCAAGAGCCTCGAGAGTTGCGAGGGTCGCCTGGATATCGTTGGTAAAAATTGGCTGAAACATTTGATAGAACCAAATGTGCTTAGAAGTTGAGAAGCCGCTACTGTTAGGCATTACTGGTCTGCGGTTTAGTTTGATGTCACGTAGGATAGGTTGAAATCTTTAAAAGTCGAGAACGGGCAAAAAAAATGCGGTTGTGTAGAGCCGTCTCCTCTTCTTAGACCTTCTTTCATTCATTGAAACGACCCGTTTTTCATTCGGATTGTTATACGCAGTGTAGGATGGACTCCTTGCAATAACCTTCGGACTTCAGCCAAGTACTTCGATCACGACTAGGGTTAACAAAATTTCGCAAAGGTGAAACTGCATGATTAGGAAGCTGCGCTGCTTGTTGCGCGATCTGCAACAAGAGCAGCTCTCTGGGCGCATGCATAGTCGATTGTCCGATCGTAACGATATTTAATGTAACGTCGAATACTCAGGCAAGTCTGACGATCGATACGCATCGAATGCTGTGCGACAGTTACGATCGTTGCTGTCGGACGACCGACTATGCATGCGCTCTCTGAGCGCAAGCGAAACTACAATATTGGAGCAGCATTGTTTGCAAGGTGTCAAAATACAACGAAACCTTGGCACATGCGCAAGGGCTGCCATGAAAGGACCGACTCTTCTCAAATGAAGTAGCTCGAGTAATGAACTATTAGGTACCGGATATCTTAATGTCGTTTTTTCACCAAGAGTATTGGACCAGCAATATTTCAGTTCAAAACCCGGGGAGGGAATTAGTTTAATCATAAAATGACTTACTAGGATCCCCTCATCTAACAGTTAGAGTGGCAAACCTTGTAC